CAAGAATTCAGCCCAGCTCTGGAGCCCAGTCCAGATCCAGGATTCAGTTCAGCCCTGAGACCCCACCCAACTCTGAAGCCCAGAGCAGTGCAAGAACTCAGCCCAGCTCTGGAACTTGCCTTAGTTCTAGAACCCAGCCTGTTTCGGGAACCCGATCCAGCTCCAGGACCCAGACCAGCTCAGAGATCCAGCTCAGCTCTGAAAGTGGGCTCCACCTACAGATCCCTGGCCTTGACCTTAGAACCCAGGATGATCTCACTTCTCCAGCCCCCAGAGCCCTGACTCTGGCTCCTAGCACAGTCTCTCGGCCTCAGCCCCGGCCCCATGATCTGGTACATGGAACCCAGGCCGACACCGGCCTGAGCCAAAGCCCAGCAACTTCCTACCCGGCCCCTGGGCCACAGATCCCCTCAGCTCCCGCGAAACCAGCCCTCTTCCCCAAGCCTCGGCTAGGACCCCAGAAGTCCCCCCCCCCCCCACCATATCTGTAATCCCTAGTTCTGCCCCCAGGGAGCCCCTCCTGCATTCCCAGCCCCCTGAATGCCTGGCTCAGGGACCTGTCCCCTCCCCCACGTTCAAGGAGTCATCAGAGCCCCTCCCCCACCAAGGGGAGCTATAGTTCGAGGATGACTTCTGTTGGCCTCCGTGGTCTCCCCCATCCTGTCTCCTGCCCCTCCCAGCCTGGGTCCCCCCCTGGAAGCAGCAGGTGACCTCATTCCCCCAGCAGGTTGCAGGGGCGGGGAGGGGGGCGGGTGGTAGGGAGAGTGGAAACAGGGGCTTTAGTTTCACCGGGGCCTGGCTCTGAGAGCTGTAAGCAGATCCCAGGTCTGTGGAGTGGAGGCTGGCAGGGGTGGGGTGGGGCGGGGGGGGGGAGGGGGAGGGGCCTGCGGGCAGGAGGTGGAGAAATGGGGAGCAGGAGGGGAATTCTATCCTCATGTACCTCGAGGGCTCACGGGAAATAAAGGCACCTCCCACCCCGGCAGCTGGATGTGTCATTTCTGGGGGGAGCTCCTGGGAAGACAGAGGAAGGGGCAGGCAGGAAGCTTTAGGGGGCTGACGTGACCACACCGGGTGCTTCTCAGGCGTCTACTCTGTGCCAAGCTCTTTGCCAAGCGCTGTGCATGAGCTCTGGCACCTGCACGAGCACACACACACACACACACACACACACACACACACGGGTGGTAAAGGCTCAGTCCTCTGACCCTCCCATGGATGTTTATTGAGCACCTGCTGTGGGCCAAGTGCCTTCTGTTCAAGGCCCTGGGGTCTGAAGTGGTGTGGGAGCAGCTACCCGAGTGAGGGAGTGAGCCCTGCTTGGGACTGGGGGAGGGGGGGGTTGGGTAGCAATTGCTCACGTCCCAGTCCTGCCTGTCTGTCTGTCTCTTTTCCTCACCTGCGAGTGGGTTTAATACCAGAACCCCGGGGACTGTAGGGAGGATGACGGGAGACCGGACCTACAGAGGGCTTAGTCAAGACTCCAGAAAGGAGAGAGGAGTCAGAACCCAGCCCCCTCCCCCCCCCACCCCGTTCCCCTGCACCCCAGCTCTGCTCAGGCGGCCGCCCGCATGTCGGTGAAGATCGATGCCGTCTGGACCCAGAGGGAAACAGACGGCCGGCGGGGCTGAGATGTATTTTGGCCAGGGAGGGGGTGTCCTGCCTATTCGTGCTCAATATTTTCCAAACAGGGTCTTCTTGGGTGGGGGCATCAAGCCGAATCGACTGTACCCCCCAGTAAGCAGGTCGTGTCGGGTCCAAGGGCCCCCACTTCTGGAGGATTTCTGGAAGGGGCGGCTTGCAAGTCTGATCTCCTCAGACACCCACCCCACAGGCCTGCCCACCCTTCCTGGGGGGGGGGGGAAGGGACGGGAGGGGAAAGGGGGATCAGGGAGGAGTTAGGGAGTCCCCAGGGCGGATGGAGGACAGCCCGCAGGCCTGCCCTTCAATGTCTCCGTCCTTCCGACGCTCCCGGCTCCTGGGGCTTCAGAAGAGACCAGCCGTGACCCTCGGGAGCGCGCCGTCCGGCTGTCCCCCTCGGGTCCTACTGCACCGTGGGCCTCAGGGTGAGCTGGGGTTGCAGGGACAGCGACCTGGGCCGGGCGCCGAGGCGAGGGTGGAGACGTCGGATCACGGCCCGGCGGAACAGGATGTACACCCAGGGGTCCAGGATCTGGTTCCAGGTGGCCACGCGCAGGTAAATGAGCAGCCGTTGCTCCGTGGCTCGGGACAGCTGTCCGGTCGGGCTCATGGCGGGCGGGCTGCGCAGCACCGTCTGGGCAATGAACACCTGCCGGGGGTCAGAGCGGTTAGCCAGGGACCCCGCCGGCCGCCAGCCCTGCCCGTCACCGGCACCTTCCCTGCGGGCCCCCCCCCACCCCCGGGGGCAGCTGAGGCCAAGTGCTCGTTGTGCCCCGGCTTTGCCGTGTGACCTCGGGAGAGCCGCCTGACCTCTCTGGGCTGCGGTTGATGGAGCTAGAAAACAGCCCGCTGTTCCTGCCTCTCCCTGGGGCACAATTAAAAATGGTGGGAAAGAAACAGAAACCTGGAGGGGGAAGCAGGCGGAGTCACCGTTCCTGCCACAGGGTTATTGTTCGATTCGTACGAAAGGTAGAATACAACATTGGACTATAAAGTTGCCCATGAAATACTTAATTTTTTTAGGTTTATTTATTTTGAGAGAGAGGGAGAGAGAGAGAGAGAGAGAGCCAGGGAGGAGTAGAGACAGAATCCCAAGCAGGCTCCAGGCTCCGAGCCATCAGCACAGAGCCCGACATGGGGCTCGAACTCACGAACCGTGAGATCATGACCTGAGCCGAAACCAAGAGTCAGACGCTTCACCGACTGAACCACCCAGGCACCCCTAAATACTTAATTTTTATATCATATATTTTATTTCAAGTAATTATATCTTGCATTGAGATTCATATTTTATGTAATTATATTTTATATGATTTTATGACACAATTTTATATTAAATAATTCTATGTTAAACTTGTATACTGAATCATTTAAGTATATTTCATTACTGTTGACATTTGTGTTTAATATTACATATGTCATATAAGTTATTTACAACTATATGATACAACAAATAGCTAATATACTGTTAATTATAACATATAGTATTTAAAATATATATTACAAGTATAATCATATAACTAACTGTATCATTGATACAATTAGATATAAATGACAACTCAGTAACAATGTAATAGTTATAATGTATATTTTGTAACTATAATGAAAATTTATGTTAAGCATAATCATAATTCACATGATGTTAAATTCTTATATTAAAATAAGCTGTTATATTGAAATTATATTAACATTGGGACACCGGGCTGGTTCAGTCTAAGGAGCCTGTGACTCAGTCTCAGGGTGGCGAATTCGAGCCCCACGTTGTGTGTAGAGATTCCTTAAAAATAAAATCTGGGGGGCACCTGGGTGCCTCAGTCAGTTAAGCCTCCCACTTCAGCTCAGGTCATGATCTCACGGTTCGTGAGTTCGAGCCCCGCATCGGGCCCCGTGCTGGTCAGTGAGGAGCCTGCTTGGGATTCTCCGTCTCCCTCTCTCTCTGGCCCTCCCCTGCTTGTACTCTCTCTCTGTCTCTCTCTCTCTCTCTCAAAATAAACAAACTTTAAAAATAAAGGTAAAATAAAATCTTTAAAAACTTGTATTTATATTGTTTCCTGAGCACCTACTGTGTGCTGGGCAAGGCTGGGGGCAGACAGACCGGGTCCCTCCGGCGTGGGTCCGCAGTCCCCACCAGGATGGTGGCCAGGCTGTCAGAGCGTGCGGGTGGGGGTGACAGAGCCACGGTGGAGGAGGGGTGAGGCCCGCAGGAGCCCAGAGCGGGCACCTGAGCTGACCGCGGGGGGAGGGGCGGTGACCGGCTGGCAGGTGGCAGTTTCCCCAGGTGAGTTTGCAGGGAGCGTCTGGGGGCCTGTCCTGGGGGGCGATGGGAGCCAAGGGAGGCTCTAGAGCGGGGGGTGGTCAGGGGCCAAATCTGGCCCTCCGCGTCTTTCTGCCTTCTTTTGTTTGCTTTGTTCTTTGCTTTGGTTCTGTTGTTATGTCGAGCATGTCCTTCCACGCGGGAACAGTGGGAGAAAAAAGAGAAAGGAGCATATCTGTGGCACGTGAAAACGACATGGGATTCAAACCTCGGCGTCCACGAATGGAGCCCAGGGGCGCAAGCCACGTGCATGTTCCCCGTCCTCGGTGGCTGCCTTCACGCTCCCTGGGCCGGGCCGGGTCGTTGTGACGGAGACCGTGCCTGGAATATTCACCGCCCGGCCCTTTCTGAGAAAGCTTACCCCCAAAGGGGACTCAGGAATTGTTTCGTGAGGCAGGGGTTCTACCCGGGATGCCTTCCCCCTTCGGTCTAGCGAGTGAACTCCTATTCATGCGTCAGAGCCCCAGTTCTGACGACTCGGAGCAGGACGGAGCTCCTTCTGGGTGTCACCGAGAGCCAAGAGGCTGGAGGGCAGGGTCCTCGTCGGCCGACGGCTGTGTGTATCCCGGCCAGGGGAGGGAAGCAGGGAGCCCGCGAGGAACCCGTTCCCGGGGTGGGTGCCAGCCACAGGCACCTATGGGTTCCCGCGGGAGCGTCAGTTACAGGATGGTGCGTCTGGCTGACGGAGGTGCTCCTGTCCTGTCCTCGGCGTGTCCCTCCCAGGCCTGTTCTCATGGATCTGAGAACATTTACGTATTCAGCTCATTACTAGTAGGTAGCATCCCTCACATGTACTGGGCAGCACCTGAGTCGGGTCCCTCCCCCCTCTGCCCTCAGCCCTCCAGGGCTTCTCCCTCCCCACCCCGCCCCGGGGTAGAAGCCCAAATTCTCCCCTCGGCCCCCCAAGGCCCTCCGCGACCTGTGCCCGTCCCCTCTCCGCCCTCCCGTCCCCCCTCCCTCCCCCTCCCCCGCTCTGCTCCAACCACACAGGCCTCCGGGCTGTTCCTCCCACACACTAGGCAGGGTCCTGCCTCAGGACCTTGGCCCATGCCACGCCCGCTGCCTGGAATGCTTTCGCCCTCGGAGCTCCACACAGCTCACCCCTCTACCATGTCTTTGCTCAAATGTCACCTTCACCAAGAGGCCCCTGACCAGGGTGTGCCCTCCGGCCTGCAATCCCTTGGGACAGACACCCAGAACGGGCCCTGCTCCGCTCTGAACCCTTGGAGCTGGCTCTCTGAAACACGGATAGGAGTTTAACTGCTAGACAAAAACCAGGAAGGCGTCCTAGGTAGAATCTCTACTGAATCACTAAACGACTCCCGAGTCCCCTTTGGTGACAAACTTTTTCTTAAAGGACCGTATAACATTCGAAACGCGGTCTCTGTCGCCACTCAGCTCTGCAGCGTGAAAGCCACGTGGAACTGAATGGGCGCGGCCGTGTTCCAACAGGACTGTCTTTCCGGAGGCGGAAATGGGAACCCCGTGGCATTTGCACGTGTCACAAAATATTATGGGTCTTTGTACCTTTCCTCTAACCGTTCACGTATGCAAGACGTTCTAGCAAAACAAAACAAAACAAAAAAAGGCAAAAGCAAGAACACATTCGCGATCTTTCCATTCGCGGGTTGTTTTGTTTTTGTTGTGTTTTGGGGGTTCTATTTTTAAGGGATCGCTGCACCCGACGTGGGGCTCGAACTCACGATCCCGAGACCGGGAGTCGCTCGCTCCACCGGCGGAGGGAGCGGACTAAGTTCACGGCCCGCCTGCCCCGCTGGCAAGAGCTCCCAGAAGCACAGGGTCTCTGCTGTGTCCTCGGTGCCTAGAGCCTTGTACACAGGAGTCGCTCATGACACGCTTGTTGGAAGAACAAATGAATGAGCGAGTTCATTTCAACCTCCCCATCACGCTTTTGGATCCCCGTAACCAGACAGCAAGGCTGGAGTCACACGGCAAGTCCCTATGGGACGTGGGCTGGGAACCGCGTGTCTGACTTCAGACGCCAGACTCGTCCCGATCAAACAGAGATGGAAAGATAACCACCCTGAATGGAAAGATTACGCCAATCACTCGCAGGGCTTGGGCCCGGCCTCCCCGACTCGGAAAACCTGGGCAGGCCTGGGTTCCAGCCCAGAACCAGGCACGGAGGAGACTCAGGAGATGTTTGATGATTCAGCGACACTACCTAGAATGGCTTCCTTGGCTTTGTTAAGAAAACTCCTATTCACCCCTCAAGACCCCAGCTCCCACGCCCCTCCCCTGGGAAGCCTTCTCTGATGCCCCAGATGGAATCCTGGAGCCCCTCCCTGGGCATCCCCATCGCGCCCCCGGTCTGGGGGTTATCTGCGCCCCGCTCATGAGCTCCTCGAGGAAGGACGCCCGAACCCTGGGGTCCGTGCCCACGTTTTCCCGGGCGGGTGAGAACCGGGAGACCTAAATCCATGTGGCTGAGCCCAAGCCCGGTCACCAGGAGCGGCAGGAGCCCCGAGCAGACCCCCCTCTGCCCCCCCCGCCACCGCCCGCCACTCACCAGCAGCGGCATCCAGCAGATAGTGGCCACCACCATGATGCCCGTGAGCTGAGCCATCATCTCGACCTCACAGTCCCGTGGGCGCTGCTGGGCGGCCTCCTGGCCGTGGTAGACGTGGCACAGAGCGGCCACGCTGATCGTGTTGAGCAGGAAGGACAGCCCCACCGAGAGGCCGCCCAGGAGCGAGAACAGGAGGCCGAAGGCCACGTCCCCGGGCTGGGCGCCGAGCGTCAGGAAGCACCAGGAGCCGGGATACTGCACCGTGTAGCGGCCCACGCCCAGCAGGGGCAGCAGGCCCAGCGCCAGCGCCGAGGCCCACACCAGCCCCACCGTGGCCCAGGCGCGGCGCCCGGAGGCGGCCGCGGGCCGCGAGAAGGGCCGGGTGATGCCCAGGTAGCGCTCCGAGGCCATGGCGGCCCCCAGCCACAGCGGGCAGAGGCCGAAGAAGACCATGACGACGCCCATGAACTGGCAGAGGTGGCAGCCGGGGTCCACGGCGCGCCAGTCGAAGAGGACGGCGTGCTGGGCCACCACGATGGCGCCGGTGACCAGCAGCCCCGCGAAGTCGGTGAGGACCAGGCCGCAGAGGAAGGTGAGGAAGGAGGAGTGGGCGTACGAGCCGCCCTGCCGCGCACCGGCCAGCACGCTCAGGGCCAGCAGGTTGGACGCCAGGCCCACGAGGCAGAAGGAGGCGGAGAACCAGGGGGAGGCGATGAGCCGCCGCTCCTCCAGGGTGATGTTGGTGGGCCGGAAACAGGGCCCCAGGGCGCTGCCGTTGGGCCACATGGCGCCGGGTCACCAACCCATCGGGCCGGGGGCGGCGGGCGGGGACGGCTCGGGCACACCTGGGGGAGCAGGCAGAAGGCACACCGGTGAGTCGCTCTGCCCTTGAATCCGCGCGGGCCTGGCGAACTCCTACGCGGGCTTCAACGCCCCAGTCCAAATGACCCTCTTCGGTTTTCTTTGTTTTCATGTTTGTTTATTTTGAGAGAGAGAGAGGAAGAGAGGCAGCACGGGCAGGAGAGGGGAGGCTACGGATGGTGACACCACGACACGAGCCGAGGTCAAGAGTCGGACACTCAACTGACCGAGCCGCCCAGGCGCCCCGAATAACCCCTCTTTGAAGAAACCTTCCCCGACTTGCCTCGCTCCCCGCTCGGTAGTATCACTAGCCGTACCGCCTCCAACTCTGTCCTGCCCCGGTGGCCGTGACCCTCAAGGGTGAGGACCACTGCCGTCTCCTCTGTGACCCCTGGAGACCAGGGTGTCAGAGAAGAACCCAAAGAGAGGCCCTGGGTTTGAACGGCAGCCCCGGGCACCCCCGGCGTGACCCCAGGCAAATGGTTTCTTCCCTCCGGGCGCCACCGCCCCCTGCTTGTCGCCCCTCTGAGCCCCTGTCGCCCCTCTGAGCCCTTGTCAGACTGCAGAATCCAGGATGGGTGGGGAGACTGGATGCGTCCAAGGTGAGGAGGGCAGCTGGACGTCGGCCAGAGGTCCCGGCTCCCAGGCCGGCTCTGAGGTCAGCCTCTGGGTCACCAGTTGTGGCGCACGCATGGCGGGGGGCCCGACACCTTCCGCGTTTTAGGACGACGCTTCCTGGCACATGTTGCAATCGTGCGGATCCTTCCCCGCCGCCCCCGTTTTCAGGGCATTGTTTTCATAATAAGAAACAAACCCAGAAATCCGGTTCCATTCTGGGAACAGAAACACGGCTCATGGGCAGTGACAGACTCCCCGGGGATGGGCTATAAATGGCAGCGAGAGGGACCTGGTCCTCGCGGTGGGGCCGGGCGACAAAACCGGAGACATCTGGGCCTGACTTCTGCGAATGTAGACGAACACACCAGATGTGGGGACGTCAAGGAGAAATAAATTGAGAGATCGTTCAAAAAACAGCTCCCGGTTCCCCAAAAGACAGGAAGGCTCCCTGTGTGGGCAGCAGGGGTTCCCGGGGCAGGGGTGGGGAAGGGCGGGTGAAGGCGGGCAGACGTGGGAGGTATGGCGGTGGCCGGGCAGGGAAAGCTCACAAAGGTCCTACCATGACACCCATTTTGCAGAGGGGGCAAACCGAGGCACGTTAGTTAAATCTCTTGCCCGAGGTCCCACAGCCTGGCCCGAGTTGATCTCAGGTGTAAACCCAGGTCTTGTTAGGGATAAATGCGTGTAAACGATTCGAAGCCTTGCCAATAACCAGATGGGGGGGGGGGGCGGGGGGGGGAGATTTCCTTTAAGGGATAGGATTTTCTTTCTTTTATTTTTTTAATTTTTAAATATTTTTGAGAGAGACAGAGCATGAGCAGGGGAGGGGCAGAGAGAGAGGGAGACACAGAATCCGAAGCAGGCTCTGGGCTGTCGGCGCAGAGCCCGACGCGGGGCTCGAACCTACAAACTGTGAGATCGTGACCTGAGCCGAAGTCGGGCGCTCAACCGACTGAGCCACCCGGGCGCCCCCAAGGGATAGCATTTCCTACAAGTGGGTCAGATTGGCCTGGGGTCCAGGCCTCGCTGCCTACCCTCTCACTGACTCTGGTCTAGTCGCACGCCTCGTCCCTTCCTGTAAGGGGTCTGATGACGGGAACGAGTGGGTCCGAGTACAGGGCTCAGGGCCTCGTGGGTGCCCTCAGGGTGGTGGCTGTGGCCACCTTCCCACGTGTTCCCTGCTGTGCTGGCCTGTCCCTCTGCTCAGCGACTCCTTACCCAGCTCCTGACACGCGCACAGAGTTTCCCTCCCGGCGGTGGGATGGGGCCTCCGGTGGGAACACTGAGGCCCCGGGAGAGGTGCGGGGGGCAGCACGGCGGGGGGGGGGGGGGCTTTCCGCAGTGACCCGCAACCTTCCCCTCCGTGGCAGGGCAGGGGTGCGCGCTCTGCCGTCACAGATTTGGCCTGCATTTGGATTCCCCTCGGGACGGGGCGCTCTCTCCCTCCAGAGCTGGAATGCACCGTTGCGGGACATTCCCGGGGACTTGGGCTGTGCCTGTGACCAGTGACGTGACCCCAGGCTGGAGTGACCGCGAGCTAGGGGCTCCTCCTGGGCCCACAGCGCCAGCCCCCGTGGGAGGCTCCGTGAACTGCCGATTCGACTGCTGATTCACCCGGCGACCGCCTCCCGCGCCTCCCGCGTCTGGGAACAAACCTGTGACCCAGAGCTCTTGGCCTCAGGGGGAGGCTGGAAACTGGCCTGACTCCCCCTGGCCACAGCCTCTGGTTTCCAGTCCCCTCAGGGACAGGTCCTGGTGACGGCTGCCTTCCCGAGTTCCCCAGGCAACCACGCCAGCCCGCAGGGGCACCTGGCAAAGCCTCCCTTCCCCTCCCCCACCCCCACCCCCAGACGGGCTGGGAGGGGACAGCAGGGCCCTGTCCTCGCCATAGCCCGTCCGAGGTCCACATCAGCACCGTGTGGCCCTCGGGGGAACCCATCCTCCTTTCTGTGCCTCGCGGGGGGGGGGGGGGCCTGGCGCCCAGATCCGCTAGACAGACTCAGGATTCCGTGGCCCAAGAGCAGGGAGGTTTGGCCTTGAAGGACCAGGGCTCTGGAATTCCAACGCGCTCCCGCTTCCAGAACCCGCAGGGCCTCGAGTCGAGAATTCCAAGGGGCTGAGGTTCTAGAGCTTTGATGGGAACGTGGCTGGGTCCCGGGTCCAGAACTTCCGCTCCTGGCTCCTCCCTGGAGGACTGCCAGCCCGCCCCGGGGGCGTCGTCAGCCCACCTGGGTGAGGCCCGGCGGCTCCTTCCAGCTGCCCCAGAGCCTCAGGCACCAGGCCTCCCATGCCCAGCCCCCTGCGGAATGCGATCTCCGGTTCCCAAGCGCCAGGCCCCTCCTCTGCCTGTGGGTCGGTCCCTGGCTCTCCTCCCCCACCCCCTCCTGTCCGCCGAGCCAGCCATCTCTCAACACGTCTCTCCCCCTCTCCCCCGGCTCCATGGCTTGCGAGGCCTTCTGTCCCCGCGCCCAGGCTCACCCAGACTCCCGCAGGGGCTACGCTGACCTCTGACCGGCTCGCCGGAGTCCCAGGCTGGGGGGGGGGGGGTAAACTGTGCCAAGCCTCAGTGTCCCCTCCTCTGTGAAGCGGGGAGACCCACGACACTGAGCCGCCTGCTGGCATTCCGGCTGATTTTCTGGGCCCGACCTGCCCCCACCCAGGCCCCTCCCCGCCGGGGAGCCTTCCCTGCCCTGCGGGAGCTCAGAGGTCGGCTCCTGGCCGGCCAGGCGCACGGGGGCAGCCCTGAGGTGGCCCCAGCACATTTGCTAAGTGCTCTGAGCGCCGTCCAGGTGACCAACGGTGTCGCCTTCTCAGGGACCAGGCCAGCCTGGGGCCTGACGCAGGCTCGCAGGCCCATGGGCGTGGACCCCTCCACAGACACCGCACACAAGTGTCAGCCCCCAGGCCTGCCCCACCTCCCCTCACCACATCATGAGGCTTAATTTCCGGGACCTTTTCCTGTTTGTGACACCAACCCGACCCCCACCCCAGAGGGTGCAAAGTGGGGCCGCCAGCCTCCGCCCCACTAGGTCTGAGCCCAGACTCCGCCCTGACTCAAGGGGACCCCGTGAGCCTCAGTTTCCTTATCTGTGCAGTGGGTGCTCTCCAGGGCTCGCCACTCACCTGCACAAGAGGGCAGGTGTGAGGTGAGGGGACAGGCCTGGGGGCCCTTGGCCGTGGTTGAGGATGGGCACTGAGTTACAGTGATGGTCCCGACGTGGGCTGAGACCGGCCACACACGCACAGACACGGGCTCGCAGCCACGCCCAGCGCCTCGCACCCTCCCTGCGGCGCCGAAGGACCCTGAGCGGCCCCCGCAGGCTCCCAGGGAAACACAGAGGCACGTCGCGGGCCACACCGGGACAGGCCCCGGGCGGACGGCAGGGGCACGACGGCACACTCCGGTCGCAGACCCGGTCTCAGCAATGCCCGGAGACACCTAGCACCTGGCGACCGGCGGACGGGAGGACACACCCACAGCGGGGCGGGCCGCCGGACACATCCTGCCCGCGCTCACGCCGCGCCCCTAACCTGGCGGGCCGGCCTCACCTGGAGACGACGATCCGTGGCCTGCGCTGGGGTCGCCCCTGTCGCACAGCCCGGCTGGCCGACGTGCGGGTGTCGGGCTCAGGCCGGGGAGGGCGGAGCGGGGAGCAGGGCGGTCGGGCCTCCCGGGGTCCCCGGGGAAACCGAGTCACGGCCGGGGGCGGGACGCACAGAGGACCCCGGCGCTGCCCCGTTTCCGCAGGGCACGGATGGAGGGCGCGGCAGCTCAGGACGCCCGGCTGCGCGAGGTCCTCCGGGGCTGGAGGAGGGGCGACGAGTCCTCCCCGCCTGGAAGCGGGGTCCGCGGGGGCTAAAAATAGCCCAGGATGGGGGCTCCGCGCAGCGGCCCGCGCCCTGTCGGTCCCTGTCTGTCTCTCCAGCGTCTCTCACCGGCCCCTCCCCCTGGCGCTGGCCACGCCCCTCAGGCTTGGCCTGGCTGATGGGGGTCAGGGGGCGCCCCCCAGCCCGTTGGGGACCCGGCTCGGCCCCCTGGACTCAGGGACAGGGATGCGGTGGCCGGGGCCCTCTCGGGGGACTGTAGCCTGGGCCCGCCCCAGCTGGGCGCCCTCTTTGCACTTCTGCCGCCAGGCCCCGCGTTATTCACCATCTGGGCAGCACCCGACATCGGGAGGGGCCGGGCGTCCCCCTCCCCTCCCCACCCCCGCTCCCGGCAGAATCAGGCCCCGAGGGGCCCAGGGCTCTAAGCCGGTGAACCTGGTGGCGCTGGGCCTGGCACACAGTAGGTACCTAATCAATGCAGGGGGTCTGTTTAGAGGGGAGGACGGGCGTCCTGCTGAGCCAGGCTTTCCTGGAGCAGGTCGGTGGGACGTGGTGGGTCGTCGCATTCCGGGGGAGGGTCCTGTGAGGACAAAGGCTTGGAGATGGCAGTGAAACCAGCGAAGGGACCGCCCCTGGAGGGCCGCCTGCAGTGAGGGGGTCCGTTCCCCCCTGGCCTCCACCCCCCACCCCAGTGTCAGGTGGGAATGGCTGTCGGCCCGGTGCCCTCAGGACTGATGGGAGGATGAGGCGTGGGCTCTCGGGCAGGGTCCACTTCCTTTTGAAGCCCCCCCCCCCCCCCCCCCAGGGCTCTGGGCCGGTCTCCTCAGCCACGAAAACAGACGGTGACCAGGCTGGGGACGGCTATAGCACGGGCCTGTGCTAGACGGTCCTTAGGTGGGTGAAGGGGGTCCGGGAGCCCTTGAAGCTGCCTGCAGGGCAGGACTTGGGCGTGGAGGGATCCCCTGGGCCTCACTGGCCCCACGTTAGACCCCGAGTGGGCCAGGACTGACCGGTTTGGCCTTGACTCTGCCCCACCCGGTGCTTGGGGGTCTGGGAGGGTCGCCTGAGATCAGGCTCTGAGTGAGGACCACGCGCTCCCGCCCTCCCCTGCGTGTCTGACACCCCTTCTCTGGCTGCCCCTCCACCATCCTTCCGGCCTCCAAGCCTTTACTCACACCCAGCATCCTTCCAGAAGGCCCCTCCCCTGCCCTATCCCATTGTCTGAGGCCCTGAGGCAGTGAGCCCATTAGCTCTAATCCTCCTCGGTAGGGGATGTCCCCGACTCCCAACTCCGGCCTCTGGCAGAGCCCTGGCTCAGAGGACTCCCCCCCCCCCCCCGCCCCCCACCCCGTAAAGCCTACTCTCCTACCCTCCAACCCTCTTCCAGTGCAATTCTGTGTCCTAGCCCATGTGGCAGGACAATGTGGAGTCAGACCTGCCCTCGAGGATGCCCCCCCATGGCTGGAGAGAGAAAGACCACCTTCTGTGGTCAGGCAGGGCCCAGAGGTGAGCCAGGAAGGGGAGGAACTGAGGCGGGGGTGGGGGGTGGGGAGTGTCAGGGCTGGGGCTTTGTAGGATGGACAGGAGTTCGCCAGGTCTGAGAGACACCAGACATTCCCCGTTTAAAACTTCAGAGACGAGACCGAGCATGCGGCTTCTGGGAATCGCAAGGAGGCAGATGTGATGCAGCGGCTGTGGCGCAGGGCTGGAGGGAGGCTGTCCTCTCCCCACTTCCTCTGGCCCGAGATAACAAGGGCAATGTCCCTTCTGGGAACCGGCCACAGCAGGCGTCGGAAAAGGCCACTGGGCTCGCATTTGGCCCGGGCCTCACGGCAGTTCTGCGCGGCGGCGGGGAGAGACGCTGTTGTGAAGACGGGGAATGTCTGGTGTCCTCAGACCTGGCGAACTCCTGTCCATCCTACAAAGCCCCTCTCCTGCCCTAT